GGCGGCTTTGATGGTGGTGGTGGACCAGGAGGCAAAGGGAGAGAAAGGCTGCCGGAAGCATTTCGGTTGGGAGGCATTAGGAATTGAATTTGTTTCATTTCCAGAAATTCCTTTCATTTCCTATACCTCCCATACCGAAGGTTTTCGAAGTTTCCTCCCCTTTCCTTCTGTCCGTTTATTCATGTTTATACTTGCTTCGATCCTTGTCTTCTTCGCATCTACCCGTTCTGATCCTGTCTTACTTTCCAATTTCTCTTATTATGTATAGATCTGATTCAATTTCGCTCAAACTTTTAAGTACTGATTGTTTGAGGAATATCTTTTAAACTCATAAATTGATTCTCGTGTTTTATGGTACTCCTTGAATTGGATGGACAAAATCTCTTTGAAAATTGTTTAACCTTTTATTCATAAATCACTTTAGCTTGAAAATGGGTTTCAGCAATGATTGATTCAGATCTTTGATTATATTATTCATATTGTTTTGTGATTTTTTTTTTCTGAGATCTTAATTTTGTTGTTTATTTTCAATGTTTTTGTTCCAAGTAAAAATCTGCAGTCTCAAAATGTTTGATTATATCCATTTAAATTATAAGAAAAATTGCAATTTTCAGTCTTTTATTGAGTTCTCTGCATATAATCTGTGTAATATTGACAGTTTGACACTTCCACTTCAACCATGGCACCTTGGTGCAACTTTTTCACCGAATTGGTGCAATTTTCCCACAATTTTGCTTACAAGGTCTCCGATCCACTACAGCATATTTTATTTGAATATAATTTTTTTAATATATTATTGACCAATCAATTCAAATGTAATTAGAAAAATTTAAATTGTAGATTATTGAAATTTGTAATATATTAAATGCAATTACAATACATTAAGAATATAGAGTGAGTTTGACTATCTGAATTTGAAAAGTTAAACGCACTCTCTATTTTAAAAGTTAAAATAGAGAATGTCTTGGAGTTCATTTTTAAACGTTGACTCTCTAAAATAAAGAGTATTTTGTATTTAAAGAGCCTCCAGGTGATTCTCTAATATCACTATTGTTAGGTAGGATTCTACATTCATAATTAATAGGAAAACATTTCAAGACCATATTTCATTAACTTTTATCAAAATTTACAAAAAAAATTGATTTTAATCTCTACCAAACAATGACTAAATATTGGTGTACAGGCAAGCAGGTCGACAATTTTATGGCTATGCACTGAAGAAGCTTTAACTTTTGGGTATTTGGGAGGAATATCAGATTGATTCGGATTTAAACCGATGCAACAGGGTTTCAATTTTCTAAAATGTTAGCTAAAAGTATTACTGTACATCCAATGCGTCTCCAATAATGTTATTTTTATGTACATTTTTTCAGTATGTCATTGAGTTGAAACCTTGATATGAAGTCCATTAGGTGCTTCGACCCTCGGAAATTTCATCAGCATGTTTCCTCCCACTTCCTCCCACTTGTATAGCGTCACAAAGTAATGAAGAAATATAGAGATACTTCCGCTAGTCCAAATTCTTTTCCGGGACACTGCCTCGTTCCTCCTCCAAAGATGAATGAGTAATTTGAGTTTTCAAGGCCTTTTTCCTGCATTTTTCACCATTTTATATGAATACCTGAAGTTTTAAAATCTTGTCCATTATATCGCGAGTATTTATTTAGGATTTAGGATTACGAACCAGCCATCTCCAAGGATTGAACGTGTATGGATCAGCATAAAGGCATGGATCATAATTATTCTCTCTTGTATACACATATATCCTCCATCCTTTGGGAATTACACATCCTGAAAAGGAATAAACAAATTGATAAGCAATTCTGTGATAAAATAAGTGAAAAATAGAATCAAGGTCTCTGATTCTTGAGGAACTTACGATTTAAATTTACATACCATTTATTCCCATGTCTTTTGTTGTCTTCCTCAAAATTCCATTAACTATTGTAGCTAATCTTGAGGTCTCATAAATAACCTGCATCATCGTGTTATTACAATTTAACTAAATGAAAAATTTCCCTACTAATTATCTATTTCAGATGAGAATTCGAACACTTACAGCACGCGTAAAGCACATTGATTTGTAGTCATTATAGTCGATAGGATCCTCTGGCCTTCTCTTTTTTCTGATTTCCGTATGTTCTTTCTACAGAATTCATGATATCAGGTTGGAATATATGCAAAATATATAAGCTAGATGAAACCGAATCTTTTATTGACTTACTCTTAATTCTTCAAGTGCTTTTGGATGATCATGAAGATACTTGATGGCCATCATTGCAGTCGTCGAAACAGTCTCATATCCTGAATACAAAATTGTGATGATCAGATCAATCATCTCCTCATCATTTAGCTTGTACTTGTTCTTTTCGCTGTAGAGTAGGTAATCAAGCATGTCGTGATGAGTTCTTCCAGAAGCTATTCTCTCTTCTACAAGTTTTCTCAACAAACTCTTAATGTTTTTCCTTGCCTGTGATATGCCTCAATATTAAATTTTCTAGGCATTTCATTCAGAAAGGTATGTGTATGTTTGGTAGATAGTAAGACAATTTAGTCACCTGGATGCCGAGATAATAGTTTGTATTAGGAAAATTGATAGGCAGAGAGAGTTCCCAGCACTAGCTTAAAGAATTCAGGCATGAATTCTTGAGAAACAGAGACGGATTCAACACTTGCGATTTGCCTCAGTGACGAGAGAAAAGCCATCTGATCAACAAAATCATAAGAGACATGCATATCATTAATGAGGGAAAACGAAGAAAACCAATGCGTGATCACCATTACACACCTCTTTTGTTTTCTGTTGAATGTCAATGATTTTGTTATCCCATTTGCTGATATGGGATCTCATAAAATCATCGATTTTCGGCAAAAGTTGGTCTTTAATCATGGTGGGACTAATGAGAGCGAGCAATGCACCCCTCATGTACTTATGAGTACAACCGTGGACAGCTGCAATGTTGCATTTACCTAAGATGTCAAGCATGGACTGAGGATAGCCAGGGACAAGGCCTTTTGATTCATTCACTAGTATATATCTATTTAGCCCTGGATCCATGGATATAATTGTAGGGCACCCAAAAATGTGGGACTTGAAAAAACTTCCATACCTGTTTTAGAAGCATGAGGTCAAAAAATTAGTCACAAGTATTCGCAAGATTTTGAACCATCTTAGAATGGTGAAAGAGACCTCGTTCTTTTGTTTCTCATGAAGGCTGGACCTTGCTTTAGAAACTCGTTAGTTTCGCCCAGAACTGGCCAGCCCATGGTACCGGGGGGTAATCCTTTCTTCCTGTGCCTTACTTGGTTCCACCTTAGTAAAGCAATACTCAAGATGAAGCCCCGATAATATACCAAAACTTAGACTGAATACAGCCATAGTTTCTCCCTAGAAGCTCCAATCACTTCAGAGATCAGAGAGAAAATTTTTGATGGTATTGTGTTCAAGTGATGAGTGATTATTGTGTTTATACTTATATAGACCTTACTAAATGTGTAAATATAACCATGCCAGGCAGACATGGCTCAATTTTGAGATGGCCCGGTTTGGCAGCCCGACCTCAATTTAGGCATAGAATGTCTAAAATTATCTAGGTCCGGCCAGCCGGCCAGTCATCACCAACTGTGCTGGGCCATGCTGGCCTGCAAGCGCTCCATGTGGGCTGTGAGACGTGCTTTTCAAGTGTCCATCTCAACGTTGTGATGACCAAAACTAAAATGAAATCGTTAACAAGTTGCAAAACTAGATACGAATTCTTGATAACTAATTATTGTACATGCAAACATCTTCATCACATCACTATGATCAATACCCTTTAGATTATATCATCTAATAGGGAATTTGATTGGTTAGCAATCCATCAATGTATATCATGATTATTCTGATGCTTTAATCATTTGATAATTGATTAATATTTTCATAAAAGTGAAGAGAGAAAAAGACTGTAAAGAAGCACATGCATACCAACCTATTGGAAGTCGAAGCAAACCACTGGAAACTAAGTGGTTCCCATGTTTCTCAAAGTCCATGAAATTATAACAATTTTAACATGCGTTCTTGGTAAGCGAACAGGAGATGTAAGTCGGATATTTTAATTGATCATTCATTTCTATTGATTTATAGATTAAACCATTTATAAATTTTTTTGGCTAAATCAAATCAAGAAAATGTGCACTAGCATGAATATATATTTAAGGGATAATTACAGTGAGGTCCCAAACTTTTTAAACACTTGTAAACGTTTCTTAATCTATTAATCATTGCATACGTCACCCCTAACCTTTCAATCTGTATCAGCTAAGGTCCAAACGGATAAATTCCATCCATATTTCTATTAGTTGACCGAAGAACTTGACCATTTTTTTAAATAATTTCAAAAGGTCAAAATAGTAATTTTATATTTATCACATTAAACAATAAAAATAATTAAATAAAAATCCAGAAAATAAATAAAAGTACATCTTCTTTACGCACCCTAAAACCACCCAAAAAACCAAAATCACCTCGCCGTTTCAACCGTTGCTGCCACCACAAAGCCAAAATGCCAAATTCAAGATTAAAATAAATAAATAAATAAATGAACAAGAAAGCTAAAGCTGAAACATTGATTTCTCTATAATTAGAGGACATTCCCGTTCCGACTCAAGCCCAATTCATTCCACTTCCCTCTCTCCTTTCCTCTCCACGGCTCAAGCCTTTTAAATCTCAATTTTGGAGTAACTGGTGAAAAAACATATATATTTGAAAAAAGATAAACTCATAGAATTTTTTAACACTTAGTGTTAAAAAGCCATCGAATCTTGATTTTTAAACAAGCTTGTTTTAGCTTTTGATCGTTTCCAAGTTACATGCAAATCTCTTTTGATTTTTGATAAGTATTAATTACAAATAGTGGGACATCCATTCTTTCAATATTTTTTAAAATCATTATTTACTTTCATGGATTTTGATCAACATACAAAATATGAGTTAACAAAAAACAATTTCACAGACACAAAGATGTAAGAAGATCGATCAAAATAGTGTTGGTCGAGTCCAAATATAGGACTGAAATGCACAATACCATCCAAATGTATATTATACACTTGTTGGAAAATTATGGTCCAAATACATTTTAAAAGATAGTGAAATCAATTCATTATTGTACAGAATTGCATGTTCCTGAAGTTGATCCCACCTGCAAAATTTAATTTCTTGTCATTTTCATGCGTTGAGTGCTTCGCAAATTAAAATTTTTAATATTACCAACAAAATTTAATAATGCAGAAAATAAAATAAAATCCAATTATGACAAAAAACAAAAACAAAAACAAAAATTCTCATTGCACTTTTCTTCTTGCAAGAGCACCCAATGTGGACTCGAAAATGAATGTTTATGAACAATGCTTTGTTAGAAAGGGCCTAAAACATCCTAGGCACGCCCGGCTTATTTTCATAAGTAACCGAAGTATATAAATTATTTCCATAATACTGTTCAAACTTTTTATTTTACAAAAATACTGTATTACACTGCTATTTCGTAACACATGCTATAATTATTAACAAATATCAAGTCCGTTAGATAGGGATCAAAGTAACAGATAAACACTTATAAAAAAATGACTCAAATAGAAATAATGGACATGCACAAAGTTAAATAAGCCACAAAATTATGAAAGTAATACGACTTAAAGATGAATGGTAATAATATTTACATAAATAGAGCGTTACTTACAACACATGCGTGTACGTTGTTACACCCACAGAGTAACTCCCCATTTAAGGTGTCCGTCGCTTGGAAACTTCCTCCTCCCTCGCTCCTCTGCATTAACAAGAACATTACAATTGGTCTGTAAGAAAAATTTAATATTTAGTGCTTCTTTAGGGTTCGTTTGATAAGACTTTTGAAAAGTTTGGGGTTTTTTTTAAAAAGTTTTTAAAAAAAAAAAAAAAAAAAAAAAAAAAAAAGAATTTTTAGAGAAAGTTGGCCTAAGAAACCCTTATACAAGAAGTAGATACAAAAATAGAGATTCTGCCAATGGATTATGGGACCTCAATTGGACTAAGAAGTCAAATATTGTACGATTTGACTTACGAACCCGACAATCCAATAAAAGGTAGAAGAGAAGGAATACCTTGTAAAAATCGACGGCCACGAAATTAGCCCAACGATTAGCAGCAACATCATGACAGGTTGGTAGCATGTTAATGAGGTCTCNCAAACACAATGAGATCTATTGGATGGGAATCGAAATATATTTTAAATTCCGCTGTGCATGTATAAGTAGATTCCCAACAAGGGTCATCTATGAGAGAAGAAGTCAAACTTCACGATTGAAATAGTGAAATAACGATAAAAAAAAATAATTTTTTTGAGTGAAAAATCACTCCCAAATACCCTCTTAAACTATCAAACTTTGAAACGTAGGTAGAGTAGAAAGGTTAGACAAAAGAGGACATGTAATATAAATATTGAAAGTTACGCTCTAGAAGACCGGTAATATCTTTCCATAAGAGTACAAATAAAACATTCTCGTACACTTAATAACATTTCATGGGTCTCACAATTTTTTAGTCAACTTTTCAACCATACATTTTATCAATTTTTTTTATCAAAAATTACTAAAAATCTTATTTTTTTCCACCTAAATCAAACATGGGTTCATGACTAACTTGAATAGTGGAGAGGATAGAGCCACCAATCCTTTCTTGATATCGGTTTTTACTAATTGAATGTTGTTTATAGACACTCCAATGTAAACATTAAAAAAAGGAGGAAAAAGACTAGGCCCCTATTTGATAGAGATTAAAATCAAGTCAACAATTAATTTTAACGACATATTTCATGAGATATACAACTTTCCAACTCCACATTTCATCAACTTTTATCAAAATCTACAAAAAAAAAATTGATTTTAATCCCCCACAAAACATGGGCTAGATTTGTCACCATGGTGGTTCGCCTTCCTCACCCTAAAGGTGATATAGAAAACATTGATATCGACGTATAGTCCGCCCTCATTCTTGATACCAGATTTAGTTTCATACTAGATCCTGTGTTATTTAAATCGTGTATTTGAGACTAATACTACAGTCCCTATCAAAAAATATTATTAGCCCCAACCTTTTCTCAATTTCCACAAAAATATGCAATATTTGTGGGTGGTGCAAGGTAAAAGTGTACAATATAAGTTTGAAATTCGAGTTACTTGAGAAATGGACCATAATGTCTTGCAAGAATACACTTTCTTGATACCCACTTCTTTCCCTTAGACATCTGTATCTGTGCTGGTGTTTATTGTTTAATATACTGAGTCGTAGAAAGAGAAAGTGGGTAGTTGGAATCGGTTAAGCTCGGTTGAGAATTTAGTCTTTGTTTCAAGAAATGAGAAAAAATCTCTTACTGGTGATTGGGGAGACATTTTTATGTAAAAATGCATTTTTGAATAGTAAATTAATCGAAAATGTGTGGTTGAAAAATAAGGAAAAGTTTTTTATTTACGTGTGATATTATTTTAATAAAGAATGTCTGATTGCAAAGAAAAAAGAGAAAAATGCATTTTAAAAAAAATGGGTACCAAACGGAGCCTGTCATTTGATTCGTTAAATACAATGTCGAAGAAACTTTATAGGCAAGACTGACTCTCATCTCATGATTTTCAGTTAATTTACTATGTAGTTTTAAACAAGCATTTAACTTTGTTAAACAACTTTATTTACTTTAATCCTTTTGCAAGTTTTTATATTTCAAAGCAATTATATAAGCACCATAATTTAACAACTCCTTCCGTCCCAATGATAGAGGCCAAGTTTCATATTTCTCTTGTCCAAAATATATAGGCATGTTTTTTAATTTAGAATATTTTGTTTTGTTCTTTTATCAATACATCTTTATTCAATTTTTCCCATTTAATATGCTAACTTCTTGAAATCATTTAAATACAAACATTTCTCACTTCTTGGATATAAGGAACAACTCTCATTTTTTTTTTCAAATTAAATCATTCAAATTCTTTACTAATTCCAAAAATAATTTACTACTACATACTGAAAAATTAAATTGGGGTAAATTAGGAAAGATCTTAGTAAAAATTAATTTTCCAATGATATTAAAAAAGATTTCTTAATCCGTGTAAAAAATGAAACAAACCTATATAATTGGGACGGATAAAGTATTTAGTTCCTTTTCGACAATCTAATTGGCATGACTATAACAATATATTTGGTACACTGAATTAAATATTACTAGATAAAATTTTAGGACCCATTTTTCCAAATGTTAGATACCTAGTTACAATTTTTTTCTAAATAAAACTGAGGGCATATTGGTCTTTTGTGAAATATAGGACGAATTTGGACACTAAAACACATAGGTTATTCATGCTCATGCCAAGAAATAAACGCTGAGGAACATTTGCATGCAAAAGTCAAAAGTTAGGGACCAGATTCTGATCCAATTTCCCTTCAAAGAATTGATTTTTTTAAAGTAAGAATAAATATTCAAACGTGTTCAAATAAAAATCTTTTTCTTTACGTTTAGTGAACATGTTCGGACAGCAAATCAAATCCTATTTTGATATAAACATTGAGGTAAGACGAAAACTTGGATAATATAAAAGAGTTTTGCTCATAATACACGAAAAAGAGTTTTGTTCGAATTTCACGTGAACGGACGTGAAAAATACTAGAATTGAATGAAAAATTTAAAATATTATTAATCAACAAATGGCCATAGGGTTTTCAAATCTCATAGCACGTATTTAAAGAGTCAAAGCGAATCCTAATCAACGTAAAACCCTAATTTGGTAGACAAATTCAAATGAAACTAATTTTTTTTTTTCAAAAATAACAAAAATATACTTAAGCTAACTCACAAAAAAAAAAAAAAAAGAAGAAGTTAAAATGGACCTCTAAACGATAAAATTTGACCTTGAAAGGCCATGATTGTCACTCAAAAAATTGTAGGATATTGAAAAATACTTTCGAAATGTACTCGATACTTAAGTTTGACATTTGAACTGCAAGTTACGCGTGTTTTTGTAAATCCTTCTTATTTTTCCGCTCTTCCATCTGATTTGTGATTTTCTCTTCTAACTGTTTCGCACCAAAAATTTGTGCTAACCAAGTTAATTTTAAATTATTTTTTTCACCTTTTTGTTAGTTAGAGGAAACATTCTTGGACAGCCCCCTAGTAATGTACGATAGGAGGAACATTCATTAATGACTCGACGCCCTCGTGGACCATTATTTGTTACAATCTTTTAGGCTATTTTTCTAGGAGAGCTCATTAGGCAAATTTCAGTTGAAGTTAAAAATTTTACATAATGCTTAAAATGATGAAAAAGAGTCATCATATGGAGTAATATTATGTAGTTTCACTGAAGTTATAATCTCAACTTACGTAATGATAAAAGATAGGCTAAATGAAAGATAAATTTAAATAAGTTATTTAATTTCACTTATCATTTAATATTTTATTAGCGTCACATATACTGAGGTTATAATTTCGATGAGACTAAATAACATTATTCCATTGTATATTGTGACAATTTAAGAAGAGTCATCGCACAACAACTACACATAGACTAGCCGTCATATCATCTAATTTACGATGATGCCATTGAAGTGAATGGAAAGTTACTCCTTTTCCGTATAGGCTTAATCCCTTGTGACAGGCCCTGTCACCTAAGAATAACTCTTCCTATAACAGTTATTGTGAAAACTTTAAATACAATCTTATAAACACAAATTAGCCTATGAAGTTCGTAAATACCCTCTAAATCCAACATTGACAGCTCACACTCTTACAAACAAACAAAGAAGGACTTTGACATTAAACTTCTGTTTGATCTTATTTTTGAAATTATTTTTTTTCAATTACATATTTCATGTGACCCTTAACTTTTATCAACTCTTTATTTTCTTGAAATCTACTACTTTTTTTTATTTTAAGCTAAACCAAAAGGAGGCTAAATATTAGAGCCAGAAGTATATTTAAAATACGTCAACAACAACAACAACACCAACAGCAACCACAAACTCAATCTCACTCCTAATATTTTGAGTCGACTTGAAATATTTTAAATTAAATTTGTCATATCGCTATGTTCATTTTTAGATTTATTGAGAGATGTAAAACAAACAAATTCTTAACAACTACAATGAATCGTGTTAATTCTAATTTATGACAATGCAAAATGAATAACGTAATCTAGTAATTAACAAACAATAATTAAGAAGAATCTTTCAACGAATCGTTTTCGAAAAATAAAAGTTACAAAAAGCTAACAACTCCAAATGTGGCACATGTAGAGATTAATGGTTTCATGCTTACATTGAGCTCTACTCTCCCATATTCATATTTGATCACTCTAAAAATTATAATTAGAGAGAGAAAAAGGGGGAAAATGATTCTTATCAATTGCCATTTTTTATTGTATTTTGGTATTACAAAAATAATATTTTTAAACTTCATATAGTTTACCAGTTATAAGTACAAAAATAAAGATGAAATGGAAAAATAAATTGTATTCAATCACTATTACCGAAATTTAACAACATTAATCTTAACTAATAAAAATGTTAACATATAATTAAAAAATCATAAGAAATGAGAAAAAGAAGAAGTCATACCAACTATCATGAGATTAGTATTTTTATCAAAAACTTCAAGTTCCATGCAACCTTAATGTTGTCAAGTTGTTGCCCTTGCAAGAATACGTTATTGTTAGAAAAATTTTAATTTGTCATGTGGACGACATATGTAATTAGTTGCGTCTAAAAGCTATTTTAAAATTAAGCTCAAAATTAAACTGATCTAATAAAGAATTAAATAATTAGAGTATCTAAATAAAGTATGGGTTGGATTATATGTATAGAGATTATATTATTTAAAATTGTATTTCATGATGGGCGAAATACATATGAAAAATATATATATGGGTTATGATCCACAATTCATATGCAATTTCTCATTATTTATATCAGCCCATCATCACCCTTACAAGAGAAAGCATATTGAAGAGTAAGATCCAAAAAGCTCACAATCAAGAACGGACAATCTACAATTAAAAATCAAGAAGACGAATTCAAGAACTCAAAAATTCATAATCAAAAATCAAGATTAAAAGATTGCAAAGACAATATGCAAATATTATAACTCAAGATTCAAGATCCTGAATTAAAATCCAGTATTAAAGAAACATTTCCAATGAATTA